TTGTCTGAGCTCTTATTCTTGCATATAATTTTTATTTTTATTTGTACTGGTACAAATAGTAGTAGCTTTGTAAATCTTTATATTTAGTGGTTTAATAGTTAGCCCTGACTACAAGTAGAAGCCTCAGCAACTGTGCTATAGTAATTTATTTTGTTACTATTAAAAAATTATTACTAATAAAGATATGAGCAAGGTCTCACCTTAAAACCAAAAAAAAAAATATATATAAGCAGATTTTTAAATAACTCTAATATTGGTCAACTAGTTAGGTAGAATTAGACTAATAAATTTATTATATAATAATATAAAATTATGTTTATAAATATATACATATATATAAAATTAAATGATCTATAATAGTACTAGCACTTTTTTCTTTTTTTCAGTAATTATTTAAAGAGTTAGGTTATTAAACAATTCTTTTTTAATTTTTAAAAATAGATAAAAGTTATTTGGTGTTAGATCTAAACTGTAGAGAAGATAAAATATTAATTTAATATGTTGTTTCTTTAAATAATCTGTAACAATATTTGCCTTATATAGTCTAGCATTATTATAATACAACAAAACATCTTTTACAGTATGTTTATCTTTTTTTTATAAAGTTATTGAACACCTCAGATAATACAACATTAGCATAAAATCTACTACTAACATTAGTATCTTCAGAAGCTATTTTACTAGCAACTATACTATCTGTAGCAAAGAATATACAAAATATATGTTTTTTGTTATTTTTAGCTGTTCTAACAATTTGTAGCCTATTTTCTCTGAATTCAACCCACTGTTTATTATTTTTTTTTGCTTGAAATAGTAAAAAATATATTTATATTTCATCATTTGTAATTATATTTCAATAACTATCTTTTAAAAATTTTTAAATTTCTTTAGAAATTCTAATATGTTCTTGCTTATTTTCTTACTTAACTTATATGGAACCCATTTTGTACTAATTTTTTTCATATTAAGCTTTTTATTAAGAATATAATTAACTCTTTTATAAGAAATATCTACTAGGTTCACCAATCCTCTAGTAGTAATATGAGGGTCAATTTCTTGATTGTAGCAATAGCTTTTGAAGTGGTGGCTTTGTAAGGATGCTCAGAACAAGACTTATTTTCAACCTCCTCATCTTCAGCTCTAAATGCAGAAATCCAGCAATCAATTATACATAGTGATACTGCCTGATCTCCTTCACCAATAACTAGTTCGACATGTATTTCTGTAGATTTTTTATTGTTTTTCCATCAAATGAGAGTATAATAATGTTGATTTTGTTGGCTCATTTTTACTTCAATATTTTTAATTGACAAATTTCAAAAAAAATTCTTTGCCGATTTTATTATATATTAACGTTAATATATTTTTAATTTAATAAAGTAATTCATAATAAGTCAGACGTATAGGTGTACGTATTAATTATTCATTTATAGCTATGATCTGCATGGAGATCTGACCTCACTGACAAGACTTATCATCCCACCCACGTAAAAAAACCCAATTAACTAAATCCGCAAATATGCTTACTGTGGTGTCCTCTGTTACGACTTGGAAGAGCACTTCTATTATTAGGCCGGATTTAGCTCAGTGTCGTAAGCATAAGCTGGTTATTATTAAGGAGTGTATAGCACTTATTTATTTATGTAGTAGATGCAGATCGGGGAAATCTACATTTCATTAGGGCATGGTTTCAAACCCGGATCTGGAGTTTGAACCCGGATCTGGGGTTCCAAACCTGGATTCAGGGTCTCAAACCCGCAATTACTACCTAGCATACAAATAGGACGATGCATGTAGAGAAACTAAAGAAAAAAAAATACATGCAAAGAAAAAGCGAAAAATTTTCGTAACACCCTCATGCTAAACTTTATCCCAAAATAAAAACAAAATATTTACCGAGATTTATGTAGGGATGGGGAAGTTTGGTTTGGTTCGGTTTGGTTTAATTCAAATTTGATTGATGCATGATCTGAATTTATATTAGATCGGACCAAACTTCCCCATCCCTAGATTTATGCAATGATAATGAAGATTTAAGACTTTAAAATAAATTACTGTAGATTTCAAAGTAATCTGAAATGTAGATGTCAAGCAACATGAAGACAAACAAGATCATCGGAGAGTTACAAAAAGCAAATTTTGATCAAAAAAGGGATGCTGCCTTAGCTCAAAGCATATTCTTGAAGGCAAGTCTAAAGTTCTAATTATTTATTCATGCCATGAATTCTACATAAAAGTATTCATAATGTCAAGAATAAAAAGTTTTTATATTAACATTTTTAAGTCTATTTTTGGACACCAAAATAAAATAATTAACACATTAAAATACTACACATTAGCTAAGTAATTAATCTAGTAATAGTAATTTTAAATAAAACCATTATACAAGAATAATGTATGAGACCAAAGGTTTAAACAAGAAATTAAATTCTTGTGCGAAACATCAGGATTGAAATTAAAACCACGCAGCTATATGAATTCCATTAATCATAATCATATGGCCACAACTAGAGACATAAATCATTCTCGTCTGTAACCAAGAAACTCTAAGGTTGAATTTGTCAAATAATAAGTATCATCTACAAAATCAGGTATAGTATCTGATATGTCAGTCTTAGCTTTCCATTGAGTTATAATCTGTGGATGAACCTCATAAGCAATGAGTTTTTTGTATCGAATAAGATTGGCCAACTCTACATCAATAGCTTTGTCAACTTTAGTGTGATCGATATCAAGAATTTCCAATAACTTTTTGGCAGCTGAGGCTGTAATAGCATAAGCATGTGTACACTGTGGATGTACAGCAGTGTATAATTTATTATGATTAGCAATTAATTCATTATCAAGAATTTTGGTGTCTCCTTGCCATTCGTGACAATGTCCAAGATAAAGAATCTCCCAGTCGTTAGGTAAATTACGATGAATACCAGACATAATATCGAAAATTTCAAGTTCCATATCTACATCATCTTCTAAAATCAACGAACGATTATATCCATTTTTGATAATAGATTCGTAGATATAATAATGGCTTAAATAACAAGCTTTTATGCCCGGGTAGTGATAAAATGCCCTACTCTTGTTAAGTCTGCTAATTGCTATTTCATCATTTTTATCAACAGCTTTGGCATAATTAAAACATAATCCATGAAATTGTCCTAAGTGATTCATCATTTCACGTCTATCTCCCCTCTTGTCGAGATTAAGGACATAAATGTTATCGAAACCAAGGGTACAATTTAAAGGTTTAGGTTTACTAAAAAAATCAGTGGTACAGAGGAATAACCCATAGCAATATATGGTTGCTAGTATTAATATCGAACAGAAATATTTTGATGGTTTGTTCCTGACACTTGGTGAAATTATCATCGTCAAAAATTAGAATTAATGTAATAAATCATTAGAAATACGTACGTACTACGTACTTATATACAGTGATAACTGATATTTCTACGTATCAACCGATCGATGGATTTGGTAATTTTGAGCTTTTTAATAATGTTTTGCATAATTTGAGTTTGCAACGTTTCACAATTTTATATTGTGCATTCTCAAGAACCTATCTCAATTAGATTCTTTGTTGAACCATTGAGATAGGTGTTTGAAACCATTATCTGACAAAATAATTTTCAAATCATCAATATTGTTATACAATTCTGCGGATTTATGGAATTTGACCTTTAAGCCACACAATGTTAATTTTTGTTTTGCATCACATGGGTCAGTCGGTTGATTTTTTTTTTCTGTCGGGCTTATTGGATAATTGGCAAAATTGGCATTTAAAAAAAAAATTGGGATGCAATACAAAAAGTCAACTTTGTGTGTTTTATCTAAAATTCCAATTATTTTTAAAAGGCTACGTACGTATATACGTAAGGATATTTCCACATCCCATTTTTGATATTTTCACATCCTCATGTTAGATCTTTTTTTAAACTTTGATCGAAGTTATCTCGACAATAAGCAATGAAATTTGATGATTTTTTTTATTGAAATTTTATAAATCCACAAAATTCAAATAAAAAAAAAGTCGATCGAATTTCATTGAGTAGTTGTGATATCCTCGATCAAAGCCAGGAGAAATTTTGCCGCGGCTTATATTTTGATAGACGTTTAAAATTTTATAAGACTTTGATCGAAGATATCTCGATAACCACTCAATGAAATTTGATGATTTTTTTTTATTTGAATTCTATGAATTCATAGAATTCAAATAAAAAAAGTTGATCGAATTTCATTGGGTGGTTGTTGAAATATCTTCGATCAAAATCAGAAGAAATTTTGCCGCAGCTTATATTTTGATAGACGTTTAAAATTTTTTAAAAATTTGATCAAAGATATCTCGACAACCATCCAATGAAATTCGATAAACTTTTTTTTATTTGAATTCTATGAACTCATAAAATTCAAATAGAAAAGTTCAAATTTCATTAGGTAAGTTAAAAAAATGATCTACATAGAGGCGTAAAAATATCAAAAATGATACCGTATTTACGCGAAATAACCACTATTTCGAGGAGATGCGCGTTATTTCGAGTACACGCATGGGCGTTATTTCGAGGTAAAGGATACACCCCAATCACTGATGGTAAATATCAAGGTGATTTATTAACATGTGCGTTATTTCGGGACGCCCATGGGGCGTTATTTTGAAACCAACTATGCTATTTTAAGGAAATGTGATTTTCAAAATAACGCCCATGTGCGTTATTTCGCGTAAATACGGTAAGCACAGTTAAATGCATGACCGATGGGCCGATATGAAAAAATCAAAAATTCTTGATATGTAATATAATTGGGGTCAAACAAGACCTTTAGGCGCCGGTGATACAAACCAAAAAAGGGGTCGGCTAAAACGGAGTTACGTACGTAATTCAATACATGATCTACATGCTGCATTCTTGATATCTATATAACATATAACCCACTAACCATAACTGCGTCAAAAAGGTAACCTTAAACTTCACTCCGCTTTAGCCGACCACCAAAAAAGGAAAAAAAACAAAAAATATCCTTTTTTATTAGTGCAAATAACGCACGAGAGTCACGATGTTTGGGTTAGGAGTAGAAGTGTACTTTGATTGGTTAATAAGGTTTGATAAAAACAGAAATGTATAGAATGTTATGAACTTGCGAGCTATCTATGTCAGTCCATGATTTATAAAAGGCATGCCTAATTTTTTTCCTGTGCCCAAACCCCAGTTAGGGGTAAGGTAGTATATACTAAAACTTTGCAAGGAAATTTTTTATTAGAACGTTAGAGGTGATTCTTAGGCAGAATTTTGAGTTATCGGCTATTTTTTGAAAAAACCTTCGTTTTTATGTTACACCAACGGTTACACCTGATCTTGCGATCTACATAAGAAAATTTCCTTATTTAGTTTGTATCACGGGCGCAAATGCTAGGGTGTCCAGGATTATATGATGCGAAGATGTGTGACAAATCATAAAATTTAA